TTCGATCTTCGTCGTGAACATTGGTTCGGCCCATTTTGAAATCTTATGACCCACTGACGCACTCCACCTTCAGTGATAATGTTGTCCCCATACACTTCACGAAGCTGCCGATAGATTTCTATCGGTTTACAGTTTTTTGCAGTCAGAAACCTTATTACTGAGCGCACCTCGCAGCTCGCGGGATTTTCAATTAACGCAGACATTTCAAACCGTCACAGTATCTGAACGGAGCACAGCACGAACCTCTCACTAGCACGGCTAGATGCAGACTGAGCTGCGCAACGCTCTGACCCCAAGATGGCCGCGCTAGCCCCGCCCCTAGCGGACACAGACGGAAACGTAATCTACTTCCTGGATGGCCCTCGTAATTATTTCTTTTGCTTATCAGAGTATTTGTTTTCAATTACTTATATAAGTTTGTAGAAGATATCATAGATTATTTTTCTTTTCTTTCCAACATGTGCTAAATAATAAAGAAGAACTAAACTGTTCTGTTCACTTGAAAATTATTAGTATTAAAAAAAATTAGTTACTAATACAGGTAGTTAGTTAAACTTTACAAAAACTTATATTTGGTAAAACATTGCCATTTTTTTCTTGTTCAAAAAATTCATATTCGACAAGTTTTAAAAATTATCTGTAGCATAGCTACTTTTAAGTGATATTGTTTATTTTGAATGCATAGAATCAATTTTTATCCCCATAAAAGAAAATCAATCTGAAATTTGAGTTTAGGAGAATTTTCTAAACTTAAATTTAGATACTTTACATTTATTTCTTCGGCATTTTCCCAAAAGTGCATTCAAGTAAATGACTTTCCAAATATATGACATCTTATTTAATTAGAACTTTACATTAAAAAAATATTCATAGATTTTCATCACTAATAAACACTTATAACATCAGATATAGTCATGAATCAAAAGTTAAAAGATTGAGATGCTGTATTGCTCTGTATCGAACTGCACTAGAAGTTAGGATATTTTAGGATATTTGAACATGGCACAGCACACAAGAGGTAACTGGCTAAAGGAAGGGATACCCTTGTGTAGGACTTTCAAAGGAAAACTGGCTCACATTCACTTTACATGTGGGGAAAACCAAGAAAACCTACTGCAGCCTGTTCATTTGGGTTTGAACCTAGATCACATTACTACCATTCATCAAACTTTCGGAGGGCATGAAGTGTACTTGAAACTATTTAATAGTACATTTTTAAATGCTAACACAGTCCAATCTTGAAATAAAATTTTAACATGATAGCTGGATAACTAACAACTAATGTGCTAAAAATCACTGGTATAATTTTAATAATTTATGTGTATGATATTTATTTATTAATTAAATTGAAAATAGTCTTCATTTTATTTATTCAAATAGAAATTTTGAATAACACATAGCTTTTGTTACAGAATATAAGTACAAAAATCAGCAAAATATAAAATCACAAAACAAAATTTGTCTCTAAATGAATATAATGATGTTCAGATTAAATGTGGAAGAAAATACTTAATTAATAAATTTCAGCTAAACCTGTTTGCCTTGCAGTATATCTGAATGACATTACTAATTTGAATAGTTTATGGTGTCCTCACTGTAGTAATGCTGTAGCCATAGATATCAGACATCTTATTTTGCCCTGCCCTTTCAGGTGTAACTGCTTTTGAAGGCTAATGGGAAACAAGAGACTGATTTTTTTTTTTTTTTAAATACTGCATGATAGTATAATTTCTGTTTTCACTTTTCCTTTAATTAGGTAGTTTGCTTAAACTTTTTGAGACTAAAAAGATAGTACATGGGACATGGGAAATAATAATAAAAAAAGAGAGAGAATTGCAAAGGAAATCAATTCATTAAGGCAAAATCTGAATGTATTGCACATAAAAGTCTAATAACTATTTTATATGCAAAAGACTATTTTATATGCAAGCTTGTTGAAAGATTGCACCACTAAATATCTCTTCAACAGTTGATGATGAGCAGGCCTATGGCTCCTAATTGAAAACGAATCAAGTAAAGCAGGCTTTCAGAGTAAGACAATTTTAGACACATGGCAATTTTCAGTAAAAAATATACGAAATACGTTTTTATAGAAAAATTATACGAAATTAAAATTTTTATGAGCCTTGAGCAAAAAAAGGATTTTAGCAGTAAGTTGCTGCTTAATCTACTAAAGATCATTCAGAGGAGATCGTCTGTTCTTTGATATGCTAAACTGAACCTGAAATTGACTGTGGAAATTACATGACTTAACCGTTCCATCCGATAAAAAGAAAGTTAAAAGCGTCTACTTTAAATGTCCTAAAATTCGATTTCGTTAGATGTAAGCTACCGAATTAGAATATTTCTACAAGAGAGAATTTGAAACTTATCCTTTATTCGGTTATTTTCCTGCCGTCAAAGGTATCTGTTAGATTTACTTTCTGAAGCTCAGCGTAATATTCTAGGCTATGCAAATTCATGCTAAACATATTAGCTATGCAAATGTATTTAAAAACAGGACGAGTATCTTCACCAGTATTTGTATATGATCTATAGCCATTTTAATTAACCATATTTGAGTTTAATTTTTAACATATGAGCACGGATTTTTTTTAAACAATTAGATTATAGACACCATTTGCCTAACTGAATTTGTTTTTTAAGCATTTAATAGTTTATTACTTGATATGTCTTTCATAAGCACAACTCTGATAAAAATTTTACAGTGATGCAGAAAAATCATCAATCGCGCTAAGATGCAACATTAATTACACTTCCTGAAAATAGCGTAATTATTTATCCACCCTAGGGAGCAAGGGTATTGCGACATAAAGGGAGGATTCCGAGAATAGTTAAAAGTTATTAAGGAAAAACTGCAAAAATATGGAGTTACGCTAAATTTTCATTTATATGTAGTTACATTTCAGTTCAGTATTTCCAATTTCATTCAAAATTTTGAGAAATGTAAATTACCGATATTCCATTGTACGACTTTATACCAATCCCTTTCATGCAAAGCTGTTTTTTTTTTCTTCTTCTTTCATCATAGACATTTTTCAGCTTGCGAGAAAGAATTGCATGTAAATTGCTGACAACACTTATGGTTACCACAACTGCAATGCCACACAAAAGCGACGGAGACACTGGAAAAGAAAAGCAGTAAATTCAAAATATACTTTTAAATATGCAGCTATTTAAATTAAATTTATTATTTAATTTACTATAAAATATTGCTATTTTTGAACAGTTAAGTTCAAGACTAAGGTTAGAAATGCTTGTATATAATATAGAAAATAATGCTTAAATAAATGTTGGAGTTTAGCATTAACCAAATATTCTCATTCTTAAAATGCCTTTTCGTGGCTTATAACGTTGTCACTAACACTGCATCATACATTACAGCTGCATTTAAAGTTGAGCAAAAGTATTTAGCAACAGAATTCTAAACTTGGCACAGAGCCCACCAGCGGCTGAGCGGTAATGTCGCTGAACCCAGGTAGTTCGGTCCGAGGTTCAAATCCCGCGAACGGGCTGGCTGCATGGGTGTTTTCGTGGTTTTCCCCATGTGTAACGTGTATACAAGCCAGTTTCCCTTAGAAAGTCCTCCACGAAAGGCATCCCTCCCCTTAGGCAGATAGACCTAGTGTGCTTTGCCATAATTAAATACACACACACACTATTCTAGTTGAACGGTTGAAATAACGTTGACTATAACGTTGAACCGTTGAGAAATCGCGACCGGCAAATGTGTGTGTGTGTGGGGGGGGGGGTAAACGGAGGACATGCTCTCTCTTTTCCTCTTTTCTGTGTAAAAAAAACTTTACGTCATGCGAGAGATCGCGAAATATGTTGTTTCACATCAAGGGTGGGGCTTATGTGGAAAGGTGGAACTAGATGCGTACGAATATCGAATCAAAGAAGAGCAAGCAACCGGCAAACGAGAGCTGACTTCAATCATTTCAGCGATCGGTGCTGGCGCCATCTGTTGAACATACGAATAACCACTTGCATTCTCCAGTACACAAAACTATGTAAAAATTTAAGGAATGCTCATAAATTGTACAAAGAAGAGCTAGAGATAAAAAAGGAGGAGCGAGAATTTAAGAAAAAAGCAATTAAACATTGCAGAAAATAAAGAAGAAAATAAAAAAGTATCAATGGACTGTATAAAAGTTGCCGAAGAGAATTTGAGAGTAGCTTGCAAACGGAAATTAGAAAAGTTGGCTGCAAAAGTAGCAAAAAAGAAAAAGCTTTTTCCCTAAAAATTTTTAATCAGGATCGCATGAGACTTAAACAAAATAGTTCTTTTTTATATTCCTTCTTTAACTATATTTTATTTTGTAACTACCTTTTCTGGTGTTATATAAAGTACTGTTTATTGAACTGAAAGTGAAGATAATTGAAATCTATAGTAACAGTTTTATATATATATATTTTATCTCTAAAATTTGTCATTGCCTGAAAATGGGCAGTAATATATAACATAAATATGCATATTAGTGTGTTGTAATGTTGTGTACATGTATCAACTGTTAAATTTAATGTATCAACTGTACATGTATCAACTGTTAAATTAAGTTACATAAAGAGCATCTTAAGGACGGTTAATTCATTATAATCTCCTGGTGATTTACTGTTTTTTTTTTTTTTTTTTTTTTAACAAGTGGAAGATAAAATTAATAGCAAAATAGTAAGTACAAGTATTATTTTAGTTTAATTATATGTATATGTTTAATACTTTTTATATTAAAAGGTTGGTATTTTATTGAAATCTGTTTTTTTTTTTGAGGTCGCTTGTGCACATTTAGTTTTTGTGTAATTTTGTGTCCGTGCATTGTTCAGCTTTTTTTGCGAACTTGCACTTTCATGCCTGGGTAGAATAAATAAACTTGCTAAGGTGTCTTAATATTATTTTAATATTTTTATTGAGCAAATTAATCAAAGCCAAGAAGTTTAACAAATATGCAGTTTTTTTATTGTATGTTTTTAATTTTAAATATTAAGTATTTATATTTTAGGTGCTGCCTGTTGGAAGTAAAGTTGGTATTGATCCTCTTTTAATATCCTATGGTAAGTTCACAAAGTTTCCTTTTGGTATACTTTTATGCCATTTTTCTAAATATGGGTAGAGTACACTGTAAAACCAACAAAGAAAAATTTTTCGAAATTGTATTGTTAGGAAATTGTATGAAATACAAGGATGAGCAAACTATTCTGAATAGACAAGAAATTGCATCACTAATTGTTGGAGGATAAAATGATGTTTTTCTCATTAAATGTCCCTTTGAAAGCCATGCACAAGCTAATATTTAAAAATGTTGACATACTTTATTATTTATTCATTATCATTTACGTAAAAAATACTTAGTTTTAATTAAGAACATCATATTGAACCCTTAGCCTGTCGAGTTATTTTCTACAAATACCATTAAAAATGTCGCTAATTTTGGACTGAACTTCCTGTAAAATGTCTCGAAATTAACCCAAAGCCTCTGAGAAATGCCACGTACTCCTTTTGTTATTTTCCTTCTTTCCTAGAATTTTGCTTTGATGATTTCGACTAAGTGAGAGGATTGCTACTTTAGATATTTGTACCTGTAAATGTGAGCCATCAAGGAAATTGCAAATCACTAGCTTCTCTGTAATAACCATCTTAATTCTGCATGGTATAACTGTGAAACTTAAAAAATTTCTTTCCTAAAAGACTGATTTGCAGATAAATTGGTTTTAAAATTTACCCGGTTTTATTTTTAATTATTATGCATTTTTAAATCTAAAATCATTACGTAAATATTGTAAGTTTAAATTCGTAAGTTACGTAAATTTATTGATTATCACCTGAATTTCAGTGCAGATTGGTTAAACTGCTATTAATAAAATCCATATTTACAAATATCTTGTGCAACTTTCATTCTTTCTGTGATATTACTGAAACATTTAAAGGGCAATAGTTATAGTTTGATTGCATTTCATATTATTTCCGATTTTTTGTGTTTTTGTCATAAATTAAAAATTTTTAAAGCTTTCATCATTTTTGTATGTTCTTCATTTGCATGCAAATAATAATTATTTGAAGTACTTTCTTTTTACCATAATTAGTGCAAGTGATTTTAATATATTTAGCATAATATTTGAATAATTATTATAAAAAATATGTTTTGTTATTTCTGCTAAATTAAATCAATTTAACTTGATGTGACTTTTAAACTTGCTCTTTAACTCTTTCGCATCGAAGTCGCCCCAAACGCCCAAACATTCAGACATCGGCTGGACGCCCGAAACGCCTGAATAATTTCCTACCCAGTGCTTTCCCCCATCACGTTACTGCATTACTCATTGCTTTCAGGTGTTGTTAAATCACATGTCAATCATTCTTTTGAAGCTAATAAAAGTAGCTTCCTTGTTTAATTTGTTCCTTCCTTTCCTTTGTTTACTGTCAGTGTTTAGTTTTTGCCCGAAGTTGCAATCCCGTCCCAAGGGGGAACTTCACACATTGTCAAAGCGTCGAAGAAAGAAGTTCTCACTTTACTTAAAAGTAAGGCTATTGTTAGCGCTGTAGTATTCAACTTGTCATGTGGGAAGGAAAAGCATTCCAGGAGAAATTCTTAGATACGGGCGTTTTCGATGTTTGAGGAATTGAGATTTTGCCCTCTCTTGATGCAAAAGCGTTAAAGAAATTCCAATTAAATATTAAGGAAATTTCAAAATTTTAACTTTTCAGATATTATTAATGTTAAAATTTACATCGTTTTCAAAAGGGATGATATTTTCTGGAAAGATTTCATTTTTTTAATGAATGGTATATGTGTAAAGATATTTATTTAAAGATATTTATTTAAAATTATATTAAGATATTTATTAAAGATATTTATTATTTATTAAGATTATTATTTATTAAGATATTTATTAAAGATATTTATTTAAAAGAGCATACATGCTCTTTTAAATAAAGTTAAATATTCAGTGACACAAAACTTCATGACCGAATATCTTCATTCCAGGGGTGGAAAAAAAGGTTTTTTTAAATATATACATGGATCGCTGATTTGAAAAGGGATGGATTCTAAATGTGACTTATTTTTCATCTGATTTATGAAAGCAAAAATTTAGGTGGTGTAAGGATATTGCATAAGCAGTTGTTTACAGACAATATTATTTCCAATGCAATATAGATTTCTCCTTCAAGGATTTTGAATGGTATTCATGCAAAACTCGAGCAAAGAAATTGATAAATAAAAATAATCTTGATCTCAAAAAAATTAAGTTTGCCTTTAGTATAAATAAATATTTGTTTTTGCTCTTTCTTAAGCAATTATTTCAAGATTTTTCAATACAAACATTATGCTAATAACTTTTAAACATTTGATCTGTTTTTAGAGCAGTAAACAAAATATTTAGGTATTATTTTAGGGTTGAGATGGGGATAATTATTAATGTTAAATTTGCATTTCACATTTTTATATACATTCAAGATAGGTAGAGAATTATAACCTGAAACTCTTTTCGTTTATGGTTTTTAGTTGATCATAAATTTATTGACTGTTTAAAAATTCTTGTTTTCCTGTCCTTGAAACACTAGTAAACTTTATCTGAAACATGATTAAAAACATTACTCTATTATTGAAAGTTGAAAAGGAAAGATTAGACATAAATAATAAGAAACAAAGCAATGTTGTTATTTTTAGCTTATAATATAATTGTTCAATAAGGTATTTTTGTAAAGAAAGAATATTACTTTACATTTTGTAAAGAATAAATAGGTGTTGTTATTATTAGGTTAAGTGTGTAAATAATTATGACAATTATTAATTATTTAATAATTCATTTGGAGAATATGAACAATTAAATATTTTTGTGGGATATATTTTGAGCGATATTTTTTCCCTATAAATACGGGCATTTCTTTTTTGAAGCATTAAGTTCTAAATAAATGTCTTATTTGAACACAGGATTAATTATTCACAGCAAATCCCTAAGCAAAGGTAATGCCTTACTAGGGAGGATTATTAAAAATTATTTTAGAATAATTATTCTTATTATTTTAATACTAATAATAATAATTTTCTTTTTGGCAACCAAACAGTTTAGCTGTCTTGTGTGTAGGATTTTCCCTATGCTTGTAATGTGAATTCAAGCCAATTTTAGTTTAAAAATTCCCCATGAAGCTATTCTCTTAAAACATGACTATTTTAGAAAGTGTAAAGAATAATCTATGGATGTTTTGTGCTGTACGACAACACAAGCAAAATGATTATATCTACAAAAATATATGATCAGTGATGCTTATTGGCCACAGCTAAATGTATCATTCTTGTACCTTAGAATAATTTTCTTTTTTCAAAGAAAGTTTTTTTTTTAGTAAAATGTAACATTTATAATCTGTCCTTTTATTTCATTCTTTTTTATGTAAGTAACCAACTTCAGTTGCATATTACATGAGTTCAAAAACCTGTTAGTGGCCGAGTGGTAAGACTGCTGAGCCTACCACTACTGTAAATCCTAGTGGCTGCATAGGAGGTTTAAGGGCTTCCATAAGTGCATCTTTGAATTATGTGTCTGTTTCCCTCAAAAAATGTTTCATGAAGGCCTCCTCTTTCATAAGCAAATAGCCCCTGTGTGCTGTACTATACTCCAAAATCTTAAGCCTAAAAAACGTTTATCATAGCTGAAATGAGTTGATGACAATAGTAATATATTTCCTGGTCGATGTATCAAGTTAGCACAGTTGTATATCTCTTTTTACTAAAAACTGGTACATGTTATGCTATAATGAAAAATGATTTAAATTGGTTTTAAGACAACAGTATTTTCAGTATTAATTGTACATAAAGAAATAGCTAAGTTAGATGAAATCAGCAAGCGTGACAGAGATCTGTCTTGGATAATACTATACATACCAAGCTATAAATTCTGGTGTAAGACAGTTGTATCCACAAAAGAAGCCATGCAGTGCTGTAGTAACACATGAAGTATAGTTCTTTGAATTAGCAAGCATTACGGAGCAGAGGCTGAAACATTCTTATATACTTATTTACTCGCTCAATAGTTATACTTTTTTGCCAGTTTTTCATTGCGAAAGTCTAGGTGTGACTATTGTGCAGGGAAATCTACCTATACAGTATTATACACTTTTGATGATTGTTTTCTGCTTTAAAATGGGGGTGCGACTGTTATGCGAGTAAATACGGTATATATGAGCATAAACACTGTGTCCATGGAAGTCTGTACGTGGCCTATATTTTTGCAACCATTGGTGGTAGGGACATGCTTTCAATTACAAAAGCGTTTTAAATGACATAAGTATTTTTGTTTTAGCTTTTTAAAATTTAGAAATATCAGTTTTGAAGAAATTGAAAATTTTATATTTATTACAAAAAGTAAAATACTAAAAGTTTGACTTGCATATGACAAAAATTGACTGTTATATTTAATTTTAAAGTTTGCAGTTTATAAGGATTTTACACTGCCAGAAAATTGAATTTAGTGCCTTCTTGAGGATTGAATTAAAAATAGGATAAATTGAATTTGTTCTTATTTCCATTTTAGGTTAATCAGTGATATTCCTTTGTGCCTAGCTGATGTCTAACATGTTTGCTGCCCATTTGCCCCCATCACGCATTTCGAGAGCCATCGACAGAAGCAAAAAATTGCATAATACAAAAGTATTTGTGTTTTGTAATGCCGTTGTTGTCAATATGTGCTGTGATTCCCTCGGGTGCATTTGAGGGCATTCTTGGCAGATGGATGATACGACCTCGTCATCATCAACAGGTTCTGTGCTTACCTGGGATGCATTCAAGATCGTTCTTGTCAAATGGTTGCCACAGATGGCAAACGGATGCTTTTGAATTTGACACAGCACCAGTTAAGGATTTTTTTAAAAAATTTTAACGCCAATTTTTTAATAACTCCAGGCTCAAAAGGTTCATCATCACTGCTCTAGTGGTTACTGATGATGACTGCTGTACTTAAGGTCCCGACTCTGAATCCTGGAGAAGGCATGGATATTTGTAAGCATATAGTGTTTGTTTGGCAGTTGGCCACTAAAAATACATGCCAAGTCAAAATCC